GTTTTTGGTTTTTCAACCCCTGTACACCTCCAAGTCACTAAATTGATTCTTGGTTGCCTCCTTTCCAAACCCTACCTATATGATCCAGCACCTCACTCTAAATGTAGAAGACCTTGTCACCTATTGCCTAGGGTTTGGTGATCGGGAAACACTGAGAAACAAACAGAACTGAGGAAAAAATAAAAAGGAGTCCCACTTTATATCCTGGAACAAGCATCTGGGAGAAGAGCAAAGCTGGGTGTTAAGGGAGACATTTTCAAGATCTTCACTGCTTTAGCACGCCCATCTGGTAGTTCAGGTCTCTGTCCACTATCACCTCCTCAGAGAGCCAGCCTTGATCCCTCCACCCAAACCGGCAGGCACCTCCCCTGCTCCCAGGAGGTCTCTCTGTACTAATCTTGCATTGTGTTTATTCAGAGCACCCGCGACTCTGCGACATCACATTGGCTACCTCCGCTGATAGAATATTCCCCTTTCAAGAACCAAGCTTTGTTTACTTCGTGTTGCATAGTGGGTGTTCAGTAAGTATTTTTTGTTGTTGTTTCTGCAAATATGCACTGCAGAACATACACCAATTCAACAGTTTCTACATGTACCATTTAGTGACAATGATTACATTATTCGAGTTGTGCAACCATTCTCGCCCTCTTTTTCTGAGTTGCTCTTCTCTCATTAACATAAATTCACCACCCTCTAAGGTTCCTGTCTAATCTTTCAAGTTGCTGTTGTCAGTTTGATCCCATATAGATAGATCTTAAAAGAGCATAATGCTCAAAGCAGACATTTGTTTACTAGTTAAGCTAAACTATTGTTTGGTTTTAAGAAGACTTCAGGGGGTATTTTTGGTTTAAGGTTTGAATATTATCTCGGGGCAATAGTTTCAGGGGTTCGTGCAACCTCCGTTGATCCAGGAAATCTGGATTCCATGGAAACTTGAAATTCTGTTCTGCATTTTTCCCCTTTTGATCAGGATTCTTCCATAGACTCTTTGATTAAAATGTTCAGTAATGGTAGTCAGACACCATTCAGTTCTGGTCTCATGGCAAAGGGAGCAGTTGTTCTTGGAGGCAATTAGC